AACATCCCTAGAATGACTATCCATTCATGGAAAGAAGCTGCTATGCCTGTTTCTCTACGACCCATTTCGTCCCGTCTTGCCCCGTCCCAAGAAAAGTCCCTCTCAAGTGCTATGATTGCCGCCTCTCGCACTGCCTTGGCCAACCACTTCACCTCACATTCGGCCAATACGGTCGTTGCGATCTACGTCCTATGATATCACTCGCCTGGAACCTTTGGCGAATGAAGTCTTTCCAGCAACAGATCGCTGAAAACTTGTTCCCTTCCGAAATCCTTTGCTGCTTCAACTCCGTTCCCCGTGACCGCCCGGCCCGGATCACTGAGAAGGACTTAGCCGTCATCTTCTCGGATGCAGCCATAGAGTCCGCTGATGGGAATAACGACGATATGCCTTTGACAATATGGCTCCCACTGGCTTGGGCCATACATCAAGGTCTTCTCCAACTGGACTGCCAGTAGATTTCTATCTCCACATACTGCAGTATTAGGACCACATTTTCAATAAACTCTCAACGACAGAAATCTTCAATTCTCTCGAAAACGGAACCATTCACATGTCACAGCGATCCTCACGTTTCCATGTGCCCGTGCGATCACTGCCCGCCGTTTCCGTTTAATCGTTCATTTATACATCTTCTACGTCGCGTCATATCCTACTGCTCTGCTCACCAATTGTGCCGTTTTGCTGTTTCTCCACTACGCAAACAACCCCACAAAAATTACACTTGTGCTTTGGTAACGGCCATCTACTACAGAAGTAGCTGAAACAGAGAAGAAACATGCAAACGCATCGTTCAAGCCCCTTGCAGGACGCGTCTTGCGAGTAGCCCTCTCCAAAGTATCATTCTGGCACACCTTCAAAACGCATCATTGTCGCACCCCTCCAGAACGAATCGTGCACGCATCCTTCCAAAAAGCATCGTTCTCGCACCCCTCCAGATCGCATCGTGGGCGCACCTTTCCCGAACGTATCATTCTCTCACCCTTCCAAAACGCATCGTTCTCGCGCCCCTCCAGAACGCATCATGGGCGCACCCCTCTCGAACGTATCATTCTGGCACCCCTTCAAACGCATCATTCTCGCACCCCCTCAGCTCGCGTCCTACACGCACTCCTCCAGAACGCATCGTGCGCGCATCCCTCCCCAACGCATCGCTGACACACCCGTACAAAATGCGACGTTGAGGCAACGATGATCGAAACATGCATACGGCGCATTCAATTTCGCGCAGTAAATAAATTAGAAAGCTTTGATGTTCAGGACATAAATTACGCCGCCTTATTGTGAAATTCGTACATGCGCATTGCGACGCCGTTAGTGCAGTATAAGGCCCTGCCACTACATCTGCCTCCTGTATTGCGCCCCCCAGCACGAGACGTTTTGGGCATCTGCCAATCTTGACAGACGAGGGACACGGTACGTGATAAAATATGAAGTTAGTAATATTGCTCATGCGCCTCTAATCGCACACGGCAAAAACAAAATTTTGCGTACTGACAGTTTATTGGCTGTGCGCCGCCGTGGGCAAACTTTTAGTAAGAAATTCCCAACATCAATGTTGCAAATACAGCCGGTAGGGGGTGCCGCCGTGTAAATCGGCCTAAAACGTATCGTCCCACCAGAAAACTGTCGCCGTTAAAACCGCCCGGCACGATACATTTTGGGCCATATACCGTAGGCAGTACCAAAATCGCACATACGTCGAATCAGGCCTGGACGATACGTTTTTTGTCATTACGTATCGATCCTGACATGTGCCCAAAATGTGTCGTCCCGCGGGAACTGACACCAGAACTAAAAATAGTACCTAAAGTACAAAAACCATCCTACTCCTGAATCCCTTACTCTATATTATAAAAGGGAATATCCTCTAACGCCCGCTGCTATCGCTGTCGGACCCTTGGGGTACTACTGTACAGGGTGGCGGGGCGTGTACGCCCGCTCGCCACAGTAGCACCCGCCCTTCCGCGCGGTTATCATCTCCCCAGGGGGTTGTGGTACGGAATTGTACTACAATATTCATGGATTGTTGCGCATCTCGGTTATCCGGACCTTCCCGAAAGTTCATGAGAAGGTCAGCCAGCTCCACCATCTCTCCTCCACCGACCCCAGACAACCTTTGATTGTTGGTGTTGTTTTTATCATACTGATCCCGCAGCCGTTTGTACCTGTCTTGAACTGCTTTCCAACAGACGCTGTCCTTGTCCGCCGACTGTGTGTTTTCACTTACTATCTCCGCCACAGTAAGAATAGTTTCCTCGTTTCGCCAAACTCTGCCAAATGCGCTTGCACAGCGATAACCTCACTGACGATCGCTAGAAATGCGGTGTCGTGAAGCGCGAGTACCTCCCACTTTTAGTGGGGGCTAGGTCTTGTTTTTCAGAACCAAGCACTTCAGACATATTTGTGTGCTTACCTGTGTTTCAGTGTGGCATCGAAAGCGAACTGGTAGCCTCAAATCATGCAGTTATCTTATCAAACTCTCGCCAATTACACGACACCTGTCCCTATAATTCTGATGACGATGTTGAAATTGTCTTTACTAAAAAGTCACATTTCTGCACTTTTCGTCACAACCTCATTGCAGAATTCCATTTATGCAATTTCAGTGTAATGTTCTTTACTGAATTGTTTACAGAATTCTGCAGAATCCGGCTTGCGTAATCCCACTAATATGCCATAATTGTGACAGCCGTCAGAGCCGTGAGACAATAGTTTTTTGGGCCATTTGCGGATCTTGGGGTGACAGGTGCGGCTTTTGATGCCCTTGGGGAGGTGAAGTTCTAGCCCTGGGGGTGTTTTGGGGGCGACTACCCCAATTGAGGTGGCATTGAAGGGTGACGTTCCTCATTCATCCAATTCCGAGGGTGACGTCGCCCTAAGAAAACGACATGTTGAAACATGCCGATCTTTGTCTGTGTCTATAGGGCGACATTGGATCGTTTTCTGAGATTGATGTGATTTCAGTTGGAAATATAGGGTGACTTCATATGCGAAACACCGGCAACTTCTACCCACTCTATCTACATACAATTACATACAGTATTTTCCGTATTTTCCATACCACGGAAGCATGTTTACCTAGTGTTTTCATCCCCATAAAGCTGTCTCAGTGCACAATCAGTAACAGTATGCGTCTCAGAACGACAAAGAGAGCAAGTATACTTCCTCTTTGATGGCGCAGGTCCGTTCTCATACCAGCTCTTCTTACGTTTTCCCGCGTTTTTCACTGGCCTCCCACGAGGAGGAGGGATAGCTTTGGGAATTCTTAAGTTCTGACCAAAAGCTACTAACCGTTTCGCTTGTTTGATAACTTTGTCGACAGAGTATTGCGCCGGCATTGAGTAACACAAGCTGTAGTAATTCTCTTTCCATGCTTTCGTCAAATGTCGTCGCGCAACGTGCTTATACAAATTATTAGATCCGTACTTCTCACATATGACAGCCGTTCCGTGATAGCAAGGAAAACCGGAACCATCTCGTGAATGCATGCAGCATGAAGGGGGCGTGTTTGGCTCTGAACGCATGACTACATGCCTCAAACGCGTTCCGTCCACCACGCTTCGTACCGTCGCCTCCATTTGCCCCGTTCCCTCTACAAACCTAACAGACTCCTTATAAACTCTTGATCTCTGAATGAGTAGCGCAAGACGTTGTTCAATGTGAGGTGGTACGGGACTCTTGCAGTTCATTGCAGTTGCTTGCCGCTTCAAAAAGGCAGTTCGCTGTGTCGACACAACTTTCTCCAGCATCTTTTGAGGCTCCACTGTCCTGATTTGGTTTCGCAGGGCGGCGGACATGCCACTTTCAGCTCCTTGAGATGTCGTGATTAGATCTTGCAACATCGAGCATGCTCTGTACAGCTCACTGTCATCAAACCTATTAAGGTAATCTGACATCTTCATCGGGAAGTCTTTTTTGGCTTGAATAACCTCATCCTTGCTTGGGTTTCGAAGCGCTTTATCGTACATGCGCACACCAACAACCTTTCCCGCACCCAGTGCTGTAGCGAGATTTTTTCGGACATGCAGTGGGTCCAGGAACAACTTCGCGTGCTGCATGCACCGCTTGTACGCTGAGTCGATAGATTTCTCCTGGTCGACAATTGTCGTCCTCGTAGGTACATCAAACCCTGGGATATCCGCGGCGGCAGCAAAAACTTTCTCCCACGTGTCCATTCCCTCAGCTCCCACGAAATGGGCGAACACCAAGGGGCAGAGTTGATGGTTAGTGTCGTATCCGAACACTTCAAATGTGGTTCCGTAAGAACGGCGGCCCAAACTCTCGCAATGAGCGGCATCCGCTGCGCATGTCATCCTGCCCTTTCTACAGAAAGCTTCTGCAACCATCGGGACGAAGAGGAACCCGCCATAATATTTACCCTCATCCGCAATATCCGAGACGTCCACATCCTCTACATTAAACCCGGATTGTAGGGATCTTAGTTTTTCAGAGTATGAAAGTTTTTGCTGTTGTTTGTATATGAATCGTGCAGCCTTGATGCGCTGCGCCTTCATTTCCGTACCGGACAAGATGAAAATGTCCACCCTGTGCCCCAATTCCCTCAACAGATCAGAGTATCCTTCCAGGGCAGCCATGTCAACGGCTCGAGCAGCTGAGATGTATCTGTTCAGCTCGCGCCTCACAGTGCGAATGTGTGATCTTGCTGGTTGTCGACGGTAAATTGACTTCGCCCTTAAAATGGACGCTAGGACGCTGGTGGGCACCGCCCATCGCTCCGGCTGCATTTCAGCCGCACCAGAGACAAGAAAGGGAAACCTACACTATCAACAATACGAGTGCACCACCTCTCCCATGACCCGCACGCCCAGCAATACGCCCGCCACCCTGTCGTCTCCGCCCACTCCTTCCCGCCGCAGCCCATGCACCCGACGGACCACCGCCCGCCGCTGCCCATCGACATCAAGCCGGTCCAGAAGCCCACCGCCACCTACGAGCTGGATGACTCCCCCCCCATCGAGCCGCACATCGTCATGCAGATGGGCGGCATCCCGTACGCAGACCTGTGCAAGGAAAAGGTCCGTGAGGCCTTCAAGGAGATGAAGAAGAACGAGCACATGGCCAAGGGCGAGTTTGACCAACAAGAAGCAACAAGTGGCGGGAGCAGAGCCGAAAACCTCACTCTCCCTTGCCACACGCGCGTTTCAAGCTCCTGCCCCCGAAAATCCGCGCATACAAAAGATCGAAAATCCAATCGGCACTGTCCCGTGAACTACTCAGAACAGCCAATGGTTTGGCCATGAACAATGTGGCGGCGGGCCACGTCCAAACGACCGGCTCATATTGCTCACCTGGGGCGCAGCGTGAGATTCGTGTACGCCAGTCTACCGCCATTCGCGGCTCAGGTTGCATCGCCACTCAACGCCCATCAAATATCCCCCTTCCGCTGCCGAAGCGCATGCGCCTGTCAGTGTGCCGTGGAGATACACAAAGAGCCAAACAGTGGCTCCCTTGCCGTTTTCAGCCTCATGATTCGGCCCTCCCTCGACCACCGCACCTCGACTTTTTCCCATCTTTTCTCAGCACAAACATCTAAATAAGGTTTAAGTCATCCCTCTGCCCATCCTTGTCCCTTTTGACTCCGCAGAATCGTCATTGGTCTTCACTCTACCCTCGTCTCGAAACGAACCCTCTCTTCGAAGACCAAAGCCGCTTCTCTCTTGTCCCAACCATCCTCTATTGTTTCGAGTTCCCCCGAACAACGATAGAACCCAATGGCCGCCCTCCGCTCCCTCGCCTCCGTCAGGCGTCGCGCCGGGCTCCTTGTCGCCCCTAGGGTATCTAGCTTTGCCAACTCGGTTCCGGCGTCTTCCTCCTACGCCTCGTCATTCTTCTCGCGATCCGTCCCGACGCGTTCGTCCTTTTCCAACTTGTCCCAATACGCTCGCACCTTCTCCGCTGTCCCGGAGCTCTTCAGCGCCACGGACTTCTTCGCGAAAAGGCATAACAACACCTCGAGGGACGTGTCAGAAATGCTTGCGTTCCTCGGCTTGCAGGACATCAATCAGCTCATCGACCAGACTGTTCCGTCTTCCATTCGCAACAATCGCGACTTAGAGGTAGGCCCGGCCCTTTCCGAGACCGAGGCTTTAGCCAAACTCAAGGCAATGGCTAGCAAGAACAAGCTTTACCAGAACCATATCGGCATGGGCTACCATGGCACTCTCACCCCACATGTCCTCCTCCGCAATATTTTGGAGAACCCTGGATGGCACACCCAATACACACCGTACCAAGCAGAGATTGCCCAGGGCCGGCTTGAGTCCCTGCTCAACTATCAAACTATGGTGGCCGACATCACTGGTCTTCCAGTTGCGAACGCCTCTCTCCTCGATGAGGCCACGGCCGCCGCGGAAGCCATGTCTATGTGCTTCAACATCGCCCGTAGAAAGAAGAAGTCTTTCTTCGTCAGTGAGCTCGTTCACCCTCAAACCATCGATCTGGTCAAGACTCGTGCCGAAGGATTTGGTGTGGAGGTCATTGTCGGTGACCACAAGACATATGACGTCGCTGCGAACAAGGACCTTTGCGGTACCTTAATCCAATACCCGGCCACTGATGGATCCATTGATGACTACGAACCATTCATCGCGGCAAGCAAATCTGCTGGTGCCAAGGTTGTCATGGCCACTGATCTTCTCGCTCTCACAACTCTTAAGTCACTCGGCTAGATAGGTGCCGATTTCGCTGTCGGTAACTCCCAGCGCTTTGGTGTTCCGATGGGATACGGAGGCCCTCACCCGGCTTCCATTCAGAGAACTTAAATTTCGCTGATTCTCATCTGCTGCGCTAGCCCCTGCGATCGTTGAAGCCGATACAAGAGAGAAGGACTGGCGCGCCCTGTTTCGATTCCCTCCTCGCGACAGTAGCAACTCGTTCGGCAACGCGGTCCTTCCCTGCTTCCTCCGCGTGGCCGACCCTTCTCTCCCTCTCTTCCAACTTGCGCACCCACGCATGTAGCCTCCCCTGCTCGACGCCCGAGTACTTCAAGCTGGCGAAGAAGGAGCGGGAGGGGCGGGGGATGAACACGAGCAGCGTGAGGGCTTCTTGGAATTGACAGGGACTTTAACTAGCTCCCTCACTTCAGCCACGCGCAAATTTTTTGCTTCATCTCCGCCAAGGAGACGAAGCACATCTTCAGTTAATGCGAACGGATACCTTGAAGCGCTATCATGGACAATACCACGGTTGCAGTCCAGCGCAACGCAATGATCTACAATTCCGTGTTCCACTATTCGGACTATCCACACGCCTTGATTATGGTGCGCAAGCCACTTGAAAGGATTTGCATCGAACGCCTTCTTCACAGCTTTAGGAACTCGGCGCACTGATAGTTGAGCGGGAATTTGGTGAACCAGAGAAAAGAGTTGCTTGAGTGTTTTGATCTTCATCGGATGCTTCCGAAGGTACTTGTCGACGCTTGTTCCTCCTGTGGTACCATATAGCGCACAAGTGCCGTTGGACAGCGCAGCCGACACGCATGAATCGTCGTTGCTGCGCACGAGGTTCGGGCCATACTGGTGCACCTCAAACCTTCTTGATCCAGTGATTTGACCGCGTGCCCCAATACCACCGATGAGTATCGGCACACCGCGATGGGCCATCATCCACGCATACAGTCGACGGAACATCTCTTGCAAAAACTTTCTCTTGCGCGGCAAGTCGTTGGTACCATCATCTATAGCGTTTAATAGAGCCTGCATCGTGTGAACGGATAGTGTAATCGAATTGGCATCGATAGGCCAGAAACTTTCGTCACCGCCTGTCAATCCGGCGGCAGCGTACAAAACGCCGTCTTGCATTTTGTGGCCGCTTGCCCCTTGTCGGCCATCACCAATCATCACCCTGTCAATCGCCCAGCTCATGGTGTCCAAGAATACTAGGAATGTTGCACCTCCCCGGAGATCTGCACAAACTTCCGTTCTTAATGGACATGCGTGAGATGGGCGCCGGGCTCTTTGGTGCGGGGTCCGGGTCACTTGGAGACGCGGCCGCGGTGCACCGTGCTAGAGGCAGGGTGAGCAAGGCGATGAAGAAGACGGGTGAGGGCATTGCGGCGAGATGTGCGGGGGGGGGGGGAGCTGGGGAACGTAGACGCCGAAAAATGGCGGGTTCAGAAGGCAGAACGTACGCCGCGTGACCGCGCGTCACCGTATGCCACTGTGGTGGGCACTGGGCGGCCTCTATAGCCACACTATATTGTTTCAGTTTTGAGAGCGCTTTATCCAGCGCGAAACCGTGCGTTGCCGTGCTTTTATAGGGGTGACATTAAAACAATCATGCATTTCTAGGGCGACTTTTCTAACATTTAGGTCTCTGCCGAAATGCCACGATGGTATACGTTTTTATGGGGTGACATCCCCGAATATGAGTTTGTCGGAGGTGACTTTACGATCGTTTTTCTGTCACCCTAGAAAACGTGCATTGTCACCCCCTGAAAAGGACACCATGGACCAAAATCACCCTACTAGCAAAGCACTTTTTAGTAGTGTCGCCCTATAAAAACCCCCACCGCATTGAAATCGCCCCACGTAGATTTCACTTTGGCCGGGTGTCGCCCTAAAATCTACACTTTGACCCTAGTTTTTTCTATAATGTTTAGCTAACGCGTAATTTTTCCTCAAGTATTTTCACAATCTGTACCCGTGGGTCCTCCAACTCGCATCTGGTCAAAATATCATTGTTTCCCTCTTGCTATCTTGAAGCAAAACGGCCACTAAACGATGAAAACACTCAGAAATCAATCTAGGGTAAGCGGCTCAAGGAAATCGGAAGAAAAATCTATTGAATCCGTTTCCATTGGACAACTGATGCATGATACAAAGTAGAGCAACTCTGACCATACGCTTGCTTTGTTGCCCCCTTGTTATCTTGAAGCAAAACGGCCACTAAACGATGAAAAACAATCATAAAACAATCTAGAGTAAGCGGCTCAAGGAATCGAAAGAAAAATCTATTGAATCCGTTTCCATTGGACAACTGTTGCATGATACAAAAGTAGAGCAACTCTGTCTATTGGTCTCGCACCCGGTAGTGTATTTATTATTGCGAAACTATTCGTCCACCTAGCCCTTATCCCCTTCCCCCCCCCTCGCCCAGACCAAGAGCAAGTAGAGAAGTACCGAACTGTTCTGTCGAAGGAGTTTCTGTCCTGATATTCCTGTCCGTTCCGCCTGTTCCGACTCCTCCGCCAGTATTCCTCTTCTGCCTACATCACGAACATGGTGGACGTGATGTGCAAGGTCTGCGGTCGCATGGTGGAAGTGGCTAATGCACTCAGCACGCGCTCTGCAGAAAATGAAAAGAAGAAACACCTGTCCAAATATCACAAGACCGACGGAAGAGAATATAAGGACTGCTTCTAGGATTCGAAGAGATGTCTCTCCACAGCGAACAGCCTACCTACGAATCGTCCAGAATACGTTGTGAAAAGGATTTGGTCAATGATGTGCAACTTCTTGCTGTTGATGTGCCCCATCAATACGCTTTGCTTGTGGTAAGTGGTCCTGCTAAAAAAAGGCTTCCAAGATTTCTTTCTGCACACATAGTGGCAGTGCGGCATGTAGTGTGTGCATCGGTGCGGAGACAGTCGGTAGTATTAAACTTCTGTTCGATGTTCTTCGATTTTTGCATCCATCATCATGTTTTGCTAAACGCTAGTGTCTATCCGACCGGCCTTTGTCCTCATATGAGGACGGCGATGTCCTCATATGAGGACAGCTCTTTTTTTTGCAAAAAAAATACATTAAATTGAACATTCAAAAAGCTACCTTAAGCACTATTTCTTTAACGTGCCTGTTTTCGGCAATAGCATCTTGCAGAACACCGGGATAGCAGCTTTGAATGCGCGGAAAGCTTAACAATATAATGCAGAATGAGTACCAAGTTGCCTTTTTGAACTGGCATATTTGGTTTCGAAGTTATTTTACATGCGGTTTTAGGGTGGTTTAAAAAAGCTTCTTTTCCAGACAATCTAAAAACGACCACCGAGAACATGCAATTCTCACAAAGTTCTTTCTGGTCCCAAGTCAGAAGTCAAGTACGGTGGCGGAGGTATCGTTTTCTTTCTTGTCGGGGAAGCGAAAGTCAAGAATAAAATAGGTCGAATACTGTCCTCATATGAGGACAATGGTCCGATAGACACTAGTAACGAGACGTGTCCACTGTGCACTGCTATACCGTACCGTTGCCACTTTCATAGCAGGCGGTTTCATACTGTAGCAGGCGATGTCAAGAGCAAAGTACTGTAGCAGGTACACGTCGACATCATTCAGGATGTGGTTGGAGTATTTACAGTACAGTGCTGTCGCATGGGTCAGAATTTACAGTACGAAATGCAGACGCGGTCCAGCACAATTTGGCCTGTTTTTTCGCTGTGAAAAGAAATTCAAAATTTACGCAGCCGCCTGTAGCACGAGGCTCATTTACTCCTTGTTTGACTTGTCCAACTCCGGACGGTGAGATCTATTGCGATCTGGTACACGCTTGACCTTAGTCCTCAACGGAAAATATCTCAAGCTCGACTAAACGAGCACGCAAGATTGCTTCTACGATCGGAAGAGATGTCACTCCGCAGCGAACAGCCTATCTACGAGTCGTCCAGAGCACGCTGTGAAAGGGATTTGGTTCATGAGGTGCAACTTCTTACGTTTGATGTGAGCCATCAATACGTTTTGCTTGTGGCAAGTGGTCCCGATGAGTGGAGGCTTCCGGGATTTCTTTCTAAAGAAGTATGTGACAGCTCGATAGAGGGTGTGTGCAGCGCTGCCAAGACAGTCATTGGTATCGAATTTCCGTTTCTTGTTCTTCGACATTGTTACTCTGAGGATTTGTCCGTTGAAACGCCTAATTTTTCAGCTACTAAGGTCCGCGCTATTCTCGTTGCTCAGTGCCATGAGAAATCTCAAGAAGTGCCTTCTAGATGCAGTTGGGTGGCCATCACTAATGATCACAGAGGGGGTGTCGTCCATGTGTCGCACTCGGAGAAAGAAGCGGAGCAAGCGATTCGACGAGAACTGGAACAGACCGTAGCCAACGTTACGCCGCCTAGACGGGTGCCTTGGGCTTCTGTTGGATGGTATCAAGAAACGCTTCGAAAGGTGCGCGAAATATTGCATGGACACAATGTGCATGTGATGGGGGATTTGGTTCAGATCCGTGCGTCATCCAGAGGAGCCGTGCTAAGGATCAAGACGAATGAGAGTGATTACTACCTTAAATGCAGTGCATCCACGTCAAACGATGCTGGAGTCACGTCAATAATGTCTAGCGTTGTTCCTGATCTTGTCACCAAGCCGTTGTTCGCAGACGTGGAACGTCGTCAAATGATCCTTGTGGACCACGGTGACGAGACTAGCTTCTGTGGATTGGAAGATGAAGCGTGTAAGCAGGGCGTAAGAGATCTGGCGCGTCTGCACCGCGCAAGCGCAAAGGTGTTGCCTGATTTGTTGGAGGCCGGATTACCCTGTTATTCACCGCTGTGGATGCGTGAGAACTTGACCTCACTTTTTCAGTGTAAGGAGCTTTTGCCCGTGCTAGAAATGGAAGCAAGGCAGAAACTGTCGAGCATGAAGGTCAAACTGCAAGATGATCTGACAGAACTTATTGATTTGGAAATGCCTACCTGTTTGATACACAATGACACGACCAGTGGGAACCTAACCAGGAAGGGCGCCGATGAGGGTCCAGGGGTCCGGTTTTTCGACTTTGACAGCTCTTTCGCAGGTCATCCTTTGTTTGATGTTGACTGGTCCAACCGGGATATCCTAGAGCCCTATGCACAGGAAATGGACATAGCTGACATTGACGGATTGTTAAAGTTGAAGAGGAAAGTATTCTTCAACCTTGCGCCGCTTGTGGAAGCATATAGATACTTGGACATGGTTAGGGAAGCGGAAGACGGTGCTCCCCGGGAAGACGCCCTTCACTGGCTAGAGGAAAGTATCCGTCGTTTGCTGTGGTGACCGAAGAAGGAAATGGTGACCACATATTTTTTGGCTGAGTTGACGTGTTCGACGGTGTAGTCTGGGACGAGCCGCTCTGCACGTGGCATCAGCTGTATGTGCTTTATAATGAGTACAAAAGAAAGTGCGAAAGTTTTGGCGGGAGCGCCATCGTCATGACAAAAAGTGGAGGAGCCATGAAGGTCTTCATAGCCTGGTGATGCATGCAAAACAAGAACTGAGTTGTTGTTTTGCATTCATCACCGGCTTTATGAAACGTTAGTCCATCTTCTGACAACGAGACGTACGCACACTGCACTGCGGTTGCCACATTCGTACCAGACGGAGTGCAAGGAGGGGGCTCGTTGACAGGACACGGACAGGGGTCACAGTGTTGGCATGAGTGCAGACGAAAGACATGTGATATTTGCATCCTGGGACGAGAATGTAAAGGTGTGGGACGTCGACAGAGGGATCACACTTGGTAGCGAGTGGGCAGAGGACTACCCATCGATGAGTAGGAAGACATCTCGGATCGAATTCTGAGGACCGCAGACGTGGGCGCTGTGTTGTACAGGAAAAACATTGCACATAAACTGTACGCAAGGGAAGAGTTGCGCGAAGGCGAGAGGACGGGTCTGAGGCTGTCCTGGTTCAATTGGAGACTACAGTAGACTCACTGATATGGCACAATCATGTAATGGTAGTTGCTGCAGTGGCTAATCTGGTTGTTTGCATGAAGGTAGTGGTCTAAGTGACCACGCGAAAAGCCATAGACGCTTGCCACCCCAGGCATTCGTGACGTGTTGCAATGGTGCGTCATAGTAGTTGGGGGGGGGGGGGGGAGGGGGGGAGTTCATTTTGATGTTACGAAAGCTTTAGAGTCTTGTTTCATGGACGTTGTCAGTCCATATCTTTGTGTGCATGGTCTATCAATCAGCTTCCCCTCATCACACAGTAAACAACTCTAGGAGTGGGAGCGGACCTGACGTGTGAATGTCGTACGGTTCTTCCGTTGTGAAGGCTTTCCTTGTCCTTACTGCAGACAAACGACTAAGAAACCTTCAAGGCCGCCTCATGCATTCGGACGTTAGCTGCAAACCCGACATCTCCTAGCCGCCCAGCACCCAGAGCATCTGTGACCCGATCATCCACGTGTTACACGTGGGCGTTAGCTTTGATGAAATGGACACTGCTGTCTCTCAGGGCCGTTCTACTCGGCGGGTTTTCTCCCCTGTACAGTATAGCCTTAGAGCACCCCTATCGGTGCTGTGTATATGTAAATATTTGGCATATAGAGATACATATAGCCTCTTTCATCCCTATCGGACTGGTTATCTCCAAAAATTTGGCCTTTTTGGCTATATCTATCTATATTGAAAGCCGGATGGCGACAAATTTACTCATTTGACCATATAGAGACGCGAATTACATGGCGCCACTTGGCCAAAAGACCATAGAACAGTGTCAATACAGTACCTCTCGTACTCGATGCCCCGCACCCCTCGTACACTATGCCCTATCAAGGCACTTCAATTTCAAATTTACTCCTAAACCGATAGTGTTTGCGCACAGAAATGCTACAGTATATCCCTAGCGTTCGAATTTAGGTTCCATATATGGAACCTTAATTTCCTGAACCCTCTAACTCCCTCAGTTTCTTATTTTTTGAGTCGCGTCTTTGCCAGATTGCTCAATGCAACCTGTAGACCTGCTCCAAAAAAGCGGAATTCAATTGGCTCAAGCCGACCCTCTTTTCGAGGGTGTACAAATCGGAGCACTTTACCCCTCTCAGAAGTGCATTTCTAGTATGGATCCATATATAGATCCCTAAAATATCTCGAAAATTAGCAATTTAATGGGCCACGACTCTTTTGTAACGTACTTGCTGACAAAAAGACCTGCATCATCATCTGTCTTGTTAAGACAGTGCCTGCTCATGACATCCTCTGTCGTTGGCGAGCACGACCTGCATCTTCGGTGCTGCTGCGCTGCCTCGCCCTGCTACACACTGCAGGTGGTGTGCTTGCAGTGTTGACTGTACTTATTCGGCTTGAACTCTGCGGAACATGGGCTGCAGGCAGCGGAGTACTACGAGGCTTCAATACAGAAAGAGTGTGCCACATTTCGTTGCAGCTTTTTTGCAGCCCAGGGTACATGCGAGTACAAAGATGTACCGCACAATGCACAAATCTATACGTCGATCGATGTCCCCGCCAGTTGTTTTCATTCCCAACGACTCCCCTTATCCCGCACAATGCACAGTACTTTTGCTCTTTTTGTTGCTTCATAAGGTGCCCAGGAACCGATAACCTTAAGACCACACCATCGGCCCCATTGAAGAATAAAAGCCTCTTTTGCTTTCGATTAGCAGCCAGTCTACACAACCTGTGAATATTTTCTTGGCTGATTGCCTCATCGTTGCTCAACTCGTTTTCTTCTGATGTTTGTATAGACTGAGCATAGTTGAGCAATTCTCTGGATACCTCGTAGGTAAAATCTGCAAGCGATTCCACCCCATTCAGCGAGCTTCGGTAAAAAGTCAACCCCTTAAATGACGCTCTGTTTTCTAGCAAATGTTTCGTCCGTGTCATCCGCCAAGCAATAAAGGCATTGACGCCAATTGTTTTGATAGTCTGGGAAACGATTTTTTGTTCCCATTTAAAGGAGGATGTTGATGATCGAAAGATTGCCCTTGACATTGCACTCCCGTCTACTCCACCCTTCGTTTTAGAATAAAGGCTTTGTGAGGCATGCTTAAAAAGTTTTAACGGAGGAAAAGGATCCTTGTTCTTGACGTAGTTGTTCACCATCAGCCAGAATGGCAAACGAGACTTGAAGATGCGTCGTGTAGATGCTTCGGTGAAACCAGGAGGCTGGGGATCTTGCTCATGGGCCCAGGCAACTGTGGGACGCGCAATGTCATTGAGTGTACTGTAGCATTTTTCAATGTTGCTGGGACTACAGTACACAACCAATGTATACATTATCCCTGCTTCTGCAGCGGAGATGTAAATGACGTAATTGACAGCAAGAACTATCATTTGGTGAATAACCTGCCCAGTGTGCTCCTCTGGAACATACTGTCTGAATTTGGCATCACCCACACAGCATGTCACAACGTCCGTCGTAGCCAAATTGAGAGCTCTATCTAGACTAGATAGAGCAACGCTTGTCTTAATCTCGATTGAGGCAATCGATAGGTTTCCATCTGTAGTCGTTTCATCGCATATGCCAAGACCGTAACTGCTAATCAAGGCAATTCCGTCTGGAGAGCACGCCAGCCAGGTCTCATGTTTTTCCCCATCATACCGCACTCATAGATGCATTTGACAAAAGGCCGACTAGACAGAGCGGACAAAACGGCGCTTTCATTGGCGGTTCCACGCATCATGGGTTCTGTAGAGCGTACGGAGCTGAACCATGTCTCGGAAAACGAGCTCAACACATCTTTCAATGATTCATTCCCTTCCGCCCTCGCTGTCATACCGACGACGCGACGTACGTCGTCACTTTTAACGAGAATTTTGCCAGCACTTGTGCCGGTAAGTCGGAGCTGCCTCAGGATAAACCAGTCCGCACAACGCTGATCAACAGTCAGCACTGTGCATTTGCTCAATAAATGGCGTTCGAGTACATCTTTAGAGTGTAAGGAATCGACAGCGGGAGTGAAGATGCGATTTTCATCAGTGCGCTTACTAAAGAGCTTTTGCCCAAGGGACGATTTCTTGGGAACAGCGATCCACGTTTCAAGGCTTTTCGAAACAGTTGTCGGAACACAGTACATAAAACGGAGAATCTTACTGAACTTGTCACTGCCTCTCTCCCTGACAGCAACAGCTGTGACTTTAGAACTCGTGCCTGGGATCCCTCGGCTTCTACCAGTGGCCTTTAAGGTTTTCACTGCCCACCACGATGCCGGGCCTTCATCGGGGCTGTTGTTAACAACAAATGCGCGGGGACGATCTAGAATAGAGTTGTCAGCTGATGTGACAACAGTGCTAGGGTCTGGGATAGGGCTGTGTTGAACCCCCTCTACCGTCATGGTTTCCCCATCCAAAACATTGCTTTCGCTGCTCGAGCCCAAATCCGAATTATCTTCTTCATCATTCCTTGTGATGCTGAGGAAAGATTTCCCAACAAATGGGTTACATTTTAACAAATGCTCAGGCATAACCATGATGGATCCAATACGAAGAGAAAGTAGCTCACGCATCAAGGAAACTTTGCCATACCCGCGATCAGCGGTTATGATAAAACCGTGAACACTTCGCTCACCCCTACCTTCGAGCACTGACTTTAACAAACTGCAGATATTTTCTGTTTGGGGCACACCGCGAAGACGGAAGCGAACCATTAATGTTATTCTGAAAAGAGCGTCTGCGACTGCATCTGCAGAATGGCCTTCTCGGTCAGCCTTTCGGCTGCTCAAAGTCTTGACTTGGTTATCAGTGGCCCTAGTTCCATACAAATCGTCATCGAGCGTTGCGAGGGTGTGTGTAGGAGAAACAAATATCTTGCATGTCACTCGAAATGCAGTGTTTTCGAACTGCGTGAGAAGTTGAGTGTGGTCTCTTTGAGCTAGCCAAGTGCGACATCCCTCTTGTCCTCTCCCTGTTGGTGAAAAAGCCAGTATGTTGCTACTCATAAAGCGTACTGTCTGCAGACTAGGCGTTGTGCAACTGTCCCGTTGCAGAATCTCGATGGTTTTTTGAAAACTGAATCCCGTACAGTGCGACAAAAGCAATACGGATACATACCGGTACATGTCGGACATCCGCAGCGGCTGTACAGCAAGTTTTTGCAGAACGATATACTCGTTAAGCCAACCCAGACAGGTTTGCAACAACTCATCCATGAAAAGAACAACACATTCTGTTCTCGTTGTCTGCAATTCCCGGACCTCCCGTTCGACATCCAATCGCTCCATTGCGGATGAGCAAAAAAGCCTCGCTCTCTCCCTAATGACCTCGAAAACAAATTCATCCTCAAGCATGAGACGTTGCCCTGTCACTCTTGACGTACGCCACCCTTGAGTCGGATCCCTTTGAGAGTTTGCTGGACTTGCCCTTTCTGATCCCCTTCCTCTCAATCGACCTCGCCCACGGCGAGTGCGGCCCCTCCCTCGTCTCCTTCCGCCTCTCGTAGCCCCCTCGGCTTCCTCACTACGCACTGCAGGTACCGGGTCCTTTGGAAGGACTGTAGCCATCCTGCTCTTTCGTCGTGGGTGTTTTGAATCGCAGCATGCGTTCTAGTTGCTCGATTTATGAGGTTGAACATTCATCTGCATCCACTCACTGTCAGCTCCGCAGTCGTATAGTGGGATTGTCTCGCCGGCGCGAACTACAGAGTAAATCTGTAATCAAACAGAGCCTTGTATCTGGCCCTAAGGATCCATATATGGAACCGTAGGGCAATTGGACAATTTACTGA